TCCATCTTTGTGGGCTAAGTTCTTTCCCTTCGAGCTTTGCCCTACAAATATGCCCACAAATTAACTTTGTTGGGAAAGAGTTTAGACTACAAAAAATGATCTTTGCATACAAATATCATATGTAGGGAAAAGGTGATTTTCTAGTAGTGATCTATGTTGTAAGATCAGAACCAGACCGTCCGGAACCCGGTCAACCGGCCATTTGTCCAGTCCGGTTGAGTAGCAACCCGCAAATATGGCCAAAACAGGAATTGACCATTGACCCGCTTGAACCCGGGACGGACTAGAACCATCCGAAACTCAGAAAATGCGAAAAAACGGGAAAATAAACCGCCTCCCAGATTCACACTCGTGCCTATTGGTTTAAATGTAGACCTGCTAACCAACGTCAGGGCCGCCGGCTATATGGGGGAGGCACCTAGGCACATGCCTAGGGCACCACTATAGCTAGGGGTACCAATTTTTAAAAACTAAACGATTATTGTTATATAATGGGTATATACTACTCCGTATATAGTATTCGTATTTGGTAAAACTAAGGGAAAACTGTCAAATACGTCCTCGAACTTTAATAAAAAGGTCAATTAAGTCCTTCTATAGGAGGTTCTGTCCGGCCGTCGCAATTTGGGGCAGTTCCCAGTAGAATTTTTTGATGAAATTTTTTGAGCATCTTATTCACCAAGTCTATCTTACTCATACCAAATTTCAGCTAAAAATTCAATCGGGAACACATTCAAATTAATTCTTGAAGATAACTGCACATTTTTGCGTTCTCGAATCAATTTGAATGCGCTCCCAATTAAATTTTTAGCTGAAATTTGGTATGAGTAAACTAGACTTGATGAATAAGATGCTTAAAAAATTTCAGCAAAAAATTCCACCGGGAACCGCCCCAAATCGCGACGACCGGACAAAGTCTCCTATAGAAGGACTTAATTGACTTTTTTATGAAAGTTCGAGTACCTATTTGACAGTTTTCCCTAAAACTAAAATAGAATTAGAACAAAAGCAAAACTAAGGAAAATTCGAAAAGAATACCGTGTTCTTAATTTATGAATCTACTATATTTTATTTAGAATTTTCTAATACAAGAGATAATAATTTAGTACTAAGTACTAGCGTTACAGTTATTTTGTAAGTAAATTTTCTTATTGTTATTTTGATTAAAATAATTTAAAAATGTATTTTCATTCAACATTACCACATGATAGATAAGTCTTCGAGCTAAGTTATTAATTAATAGAAAAATGAGTAAATTACTGTTAACTTGAGTGAAGTACATACTCACAAATTTTACACTTCTGAAGGAAAGATAATTGTTCAAAAAAGTTATAATTTGTTACTTTTAATAAACTAAATTATATACTTCTTTTGTCGTATTTAAAGATTCCTACGCGGTTTATGATTTTTCACTCTTCTTAAAATTAATTGATCCTTATCATTAATGAGATGAGATTATTTTTAGTAAATAAAATTTACATATTCAGAAACTATATTAAGAGTTTTATTATACTTGATCAAGAAAAATTAAATTTGATAAAAGTTGAATATATAAAATAAAATATGAAAAAAAATTCACGTTGACCGGAGAGTAGTGGATGAGGACCTTTATATGTGTCGGAGGGAGTATAATTTATTGTCTAAAACATAACTAACTAATACGGAGTATGAAAATATAATTTTAGTTTTTGTCTAGGGCACCAAACCAACTAAAGACGACCCTGACCAACGAGTTACACTAGGTAGCTGGGAATTACGGATGTTTATACTTAATCGTTTAGCTTTGGTTATTTTCTATCAACAATTATTATCATTTTAGTTACATATGATATTGTTAAAAGTAGTTGCATTTAAATTGCATTTACTATTAAAGTTGTTACATTTAGTTAATTTTACTATACTTGTCACATTATCATATTAATTAATAATTAATCATATTTGTTACATATTTATATTAACCATATAAAAGTTTTGAAATTAAAATATTAAAGTAGTGTATTTTATTTGTACTCACAATTCAATATTCTATAGACTTGTAGATTAGTCACATTTTAATATAAAAGTCACAATTTTGTTAAACTATCATATTACTTACATTTTAATATTAAAGTCTCATTTTTATTTTAAAGTCACATCTTAACTGTACTCACAAATAAGTATTTGTTACAAATTACTTACATTTTAGTTACGTTCAACTCACATTTCCTTACATAAAGTGAAATTTTAGTTACATTTTTATATTAGTTGCATTTTAATTGTGCTCACATTGAAATATTTGTTAGAAATTAATATTTGTTATATTTTAAGATGGACCTTGGTAGACGTTATGTAGATATGAGTAACCTCAACCGCAATAGAAGGAAGGAGATTGCGAAATGACATCCTAATTCGCGAGGCAAAGGTAAGAACATGGCGAGTCTTCTTCTCAAATCCGAGGTTATTTTGATACGGATTACCAACGGAGGGATGCGATATTCGAGCGGGAACCGGATCAATTGTTGGCCCAAGGACATAGGCAGTATTAGCAACATGAAGACATTCTTGAGATTAACGGAGAGCTGGAGGATGACGAGGAGGAGGAGACGACGGTCAAGGAGGAACAAGACGATGAGAAAACCCCCGATGAGGAAACCCCCAATGAGGACGAGTCTGGTTCATCTCAACCCGGTAAGAAAGGTCCTTATAGAAACTAATTTCAAAAAGTGGAAGGAAACGAAAAGCAAGAAGTGGTGGACAACTTGCAACCGTTGTAAGAAAAGTATAAGCTTGTGGATTTAGTGAGGATACAACGGCACTCTTAAGGATTTGAAGGCTCGTCACCCCGTGGAGTTTGCAAAAGTAAAAGGCAAGGGGACACAAACTTAAATATCAAAGTTTGCAACTGGTCAACCCTTTGGTAATTAATTTTTCTTATGATGATTCTAAACATTTAACTGCTCTGTCTGAATTACTTGTTGAAAAAAATTAGCCTTGTATTTTTTCTAAAAGTCTTTCTTTACAAGCTTATTCTCAAGGTTTTTTAAATCCTCAATTTCAAAACTATAGTCGCAAAACCATTAAAAAAGAAGTTATAAGGCAATATGTTTTGGAAAAGGATAACTTAAAAATGTTTCTCGCAAACTTTGATGGACGTGTTAATATTTGTAGTGATATTTGGGTGTGACTGTACATTATATTGATGCTAATTGAGATATGTATAAACGTGTTAACGCTTTTCAAGAATTTAATGACTGGCAGTCTGGCAACGATAATAATATTAATATTCTCATTGAGCGTATTTTAACTGAATAAGATTTGATTGATAAAGTTTTTCATATTGATTATGATAATGCTAGTAATAAGACTGCTGTTATATCTCGATTGTGTGAATTGTGTGATCCTTCTACTTTGATGGGTAGGTTTTTTCATCAGCGTTGTGCATGTCATATTATCAATTTATGTGTAAAAAATAGTTTAACCACATTAGGTGATGTGATGGAGAACGTGAAGGGGGTTATTAGACTGATTTGGGGTAATAATCAACTGAAAAAGCAATGACGTCAATATTTGAGGGTTAGACATGTGAATTATTGTGCTTTTCCAAAAGATTTGTCTATTCATTGGAATATTATTTATAACTTAATTGTTGTACTTCTTAGATTTAAAGTTCATTTTCCTACTTTTGTAAAAGAAACTGCTACCTGTGTTATAAATCCGGTTGAGATTGACACTATGGAATTTTTTTTTTGCCAAGTTTGTTTTTTTAATAATGCAACTCTAACTTTTAGTCATATTTATAAACCTACAACAAACCAATTTTTTGTTGAACCTGTTAATCTCGCCGGTATTTTTTCTGAATTTCAACAAGCCGCTTATGATTTTTGTGATCTTATAAAAGAAAAGTTTTTAAAACATTTTACATATATTCCGCCTATATATGGTATTGCCTTTGTTTTTTATCCTCATTTCAAACTACATGCTTATCAAAATTGTATAGAGTTCTATTGTACTTGTTTTTTCAGTGCATTACCCATGTACGAAGAGAATTTCATAGATCCTAAAGAGCGATACAATGAGGTTAGTAATTTATTTCATCAATTATTTAATGAGTTTCATGCACATTATGCTAACGCACCCCCTCTCCCGAAATCAACCGCTTCTTCATCTAAAAGAAAATCATTTTTCAAATCTACATTTGGTATTCTTATGAAAATAAATAAATCAACTCTCGTTGTTGCACCAAGTTCGATTAATGAGTTTTTTTTTAATTTTATTTAATACTCCAGATGGCGTTTCGGGTAGAGGGCTAGGGGGCTGGAGTAATCAAGGCTGAAACTCACTCCATTGAGTTTCGAACCTGAAGCCTCCTGTAAGGGAGAGTGAGTCGACGACCAGTTGGACTGGAGTACTGGACCGCTTCCTCAACGAACTTTCTTTATATTTAATGTTTCCTGTTGAGTATAAAGGAGACGACTTTGACGTTCTTAAGTGGTGGAAGGAAAAATAAAAAATATTCCCGATTTTATCAAGGTGGCGAAGCAAGTGTTTTCAATACCGGTGTCCTTGGAACAAGAATTTAGCGAAGCCAGCAACGTCCTCACCGATTATAGAACAAGATTGAGCGCACATGCTCATTTGCTTTCACAATTGATTGAAGGCACGACGTAGAATTCAAGAAGTTTGCATCGCTCCAACCGCCACTTCATGGAGGAAACAACAATCGACAGTTGTGAAATAATTCAAAAAAAAGGTAAAAAAAAAAAAACTTAGCCCAAGCCGGCCCCAGACCGAAGCCCGACCCAACCCGGTACCGGTACATGCCCAAGCAGGTACCGGGCATGAAATTTCTGGACCCGGAGCCCAACCCGGACCCGTCCCAGGCCACCCCTAACAACACTGTAGTACTGCACACACACTAGAGGTGCGATGGGCAGCAGCCTGGCAGTGGCAGACTGGCAGTGGCTCAAATGATAATGTCAAAACTCAAACGGTTATGTAGATTTGTGTAGTTTTTTTCTCTGCTTAGATATTCACTCAGCTAAAAGCTCTCTAAAGTCTAATGACAGTAAAACACGATAACAATCTCCAAATTAACGTTAAAAACAGTATTAGAAGGAAATTAGAGGCAAAATGTTTCATCTGGTCAGTCAAGGTACACTTTTACATCAATGCCACTATCAATGAGGGACTGAACCACAGCCCTGATTTTACCTTCAAATTTGTCACTATCACGGGGAGTGTAAGCAGTGGTATACACATCGGCTTCTCTTGCCCTGTCAGCCAAAATCCGTCCAACGGACAAACACGCGGGTATGTCGCTCCTTGATTTCAGCATTGCTTTTATATCCTTCGAATTTGTACCTGCGACCGCGACCTGCTTGCAAGTGACTCTGTGTGTGATTGAGGCCGAAACAAAGCGCTTCGAGATGAAGACATCAAGCGTGAAGGGTTCCATGAAAGCACCCGTCCTTTGTTTGAAAGAAATGTGCTTGCCTGGGTTCTTTGACTTTTTTCCCTTCTGGTACGTGTATGGCCGGCTATTGTCATCATCTACAAAATCCTCCACCCCGAAAAAACTTCTAGGCGAGCAACGGGTCTGAACATACAACATCAAGTCATCAACAATATATAAGTGTTAATCCCAAAAGATTTTGGGGAGGGTCTGAACATAGATATAGCAAAAAACAATATGTTTCGCAAACGTCACAACAGTGCTACTATGTTTACTTAAATTCTTTTTTAAGCTTTTAGATGAAGAGAGCCTACACTGTTATTACACTACAATAAAAGGACGCAATCAGCTACAGCTTATTGAAGCACAAGTCAAAACTGCCTGAGTCCCACAATCTCCCACAAAGGTAGTCTGGGTAGTTATGTATTAAACCTACATTAATGCCTAATTGCTATATTTATCACTTCTTAAAGTGTCGTGGTATTTCTACATCCATTATCTAGCCTAGAATTTGTGAGCCATGGAAGGCTTCTGTGCTTCTTACTAGAACCCCTAAGTGTCACTTTCTTTTGTTCTTGAGTCGTTCTTTGTGTAAATAAGGATGTACGTAGTAACTTTTTTCAGTAAAAATAAAAGTTTTATTAATGTAAAGAAAAGAGTACAACCGCTAATGAAGGTAGAAAGTTAAAGAAATAACATAAAGTTATTGAAATAAAACAATAATGATCCACACCCTTATTTTCCATAAGCATAGAAATCTTCAATTTGAGAGATTGGAGGAAATCAATTCAATTCTCAACATTATTCAAATTTAGTCTGCTCTGAATTTATATACCAAGGAGGATAGCTTGAAGTCCAACAATATATAAGTGTTAATCCCAAAAGATTTTGGGGAGGGTCTGAACATAGATATAGCAAAAAACAATATGTTTGGCAAACGTTACAACAGCGCTACTATTTTTTCATTTTCATTTTCATTTACCCCAGTGCCGCAAAGGCTCCCACCTACGGTGGGGTAAGGGGGGGTCGGATGTACGCAGTCTTACCTCTGTACTAAAGCACAGAGAGACTATTTCCGGATGACCCATAGTGAAAATCGAGTCCAAAATTGCATGGACTGACTACTGCTTCATAACAAAGAAGCGCAGACAGTTTAGTGAGTCATTTTGCTTTATTCCATCATATTTTCAAGCCAAAAAGTAATGAATCTTTGGCTCCATTGCAAATGATGGAAAGTCAACAGCGCTACTATGTTTACTTAAATTCTTTTTTTAAGCTTTTAGATGAAGAGAGTCTACACTGTTATTACACTACAATAAAAGGACGCAATCAGCTACAGCTTATTGAAGCACAAGTCAAAACTGCCTGAGTCCCACAATCTCCCACAAAGGTAGTCTGGGTAGTTATGTATTAAACCAACATTAATGCCTAATTGCTATATTTATCACTTCTTAAAGTGTCGTGGTATTTCTACATACATTATCTAGCCTAGAATCTGTGAGCCATGGAAGGCTTCTGTGCTTCTTACTAGAACCCCTAAGTGTCACTTTCTTTTGTTCTTGAGTCGTTCTTGGTGTAAATAAGGATGTATGTAGTAACTTTTTTCAGTAAAAATAAAAGTTTTATTAATGTAAAGAAAAGAGTACAACCGCTAATGAAGGTAGAAAGTTAAAGAAATAACATAAAGTTATTGAAATAAAACAATAATGATCCACACCCTTATTTTCCATAAGCATAGAAATCTTCAATTTGAGAGATTGGAGGAAATCAATTCAATTCTCAACATTATTCAAATTTAGTCTGCTCTGAATTTATATACCAAGGAGGATAGCTTGAAGTCCAACAACTAGGGCACCCTTAGGCTCAAATCATTTTCACAAGGTATACCCCCCAATGATGATATAATAAAGATGCCTTTATGAAGTGCAGTTTCCCTTTGAAACTTAGCATCAAAATGGAATTTAAAATAATCATTAGTGGTGGTAACCAACCTTGAAAAAAAACATTCCAAATTTACTAATGTAACGTTCAATAGAGACACTAATGCTTTTCTTATCAAATGTTCTTTCTGAATTCGTTTGCCCATTCTGAAAAACCAAATGAATCAAAACTAAATCACATGAAGATAATTGCAGTCCCTTGAACTAAGGTTCCACTAAAACTTAATCAAGAAAACTTTGTAATAAAGCTGTGGGCATTTAAAGCCTAATCCCAAGATTGTGTTGGTGACACAACTTATCCCAATGGGTCCTTTTAAGGTTTCCTTTTTTCCCAAAGAACGAAATTGAACATTTATTCCATTCTTTTTATATCACTTTTAGGAGGAACATTAACTTTAATGAGATGCACATGCATGTGCTTTGCAACCTGATGCATGAGGATGAATCTTCCAGCTATTGATAAATGGTGATTCTCTCCCACGAAAAAATATGGATATAATTTTATTAACCAAGACATCAAATTGTTTAAAGGCTTAAGGGAAAAGGATTAAACTCTTAGCCCTTGCGCTTTCTTGCTTCAAAACTGCCTGAGTCCTACAATCTCCCACGAAGGTAGTCCGGGTAGTTATGTATTCAACCTACATTAATGCCTAATTGCTATATTTATCACTTCTTAAAATGTCGTGGTATTCCTACATCCATTACCTAAGCCTAGAACCCCCAAGTGTCACTCTCTTTTGTTCCTGAGTAGTTCTTGGTGTAATGTTTTGAGTGTACACGATCGAGTTGTCAGTGTACACAGACAATACTGCCTTTTTAGACGAATTGTGGGTGTAAACAAACAAAATAGGGAGCCTGTACAGAAAAAAGTGTACAAAAACGTGTTCAAACTGATTTTTCCTTTGTTTCTAGACATTAGACAAGTCATATTTGATCTAATTAACCAGTTCCCCAATGGTCAGGCCTCAATTTATAGCTCCAGCTAATAATAATGTTATGTTCCTTTAATTTACTGAAAATATATACCACAAGATTCACGCGTGGAAACTACAAAAATTGTGAATGCGAAAGCCTAAGGAAAAAATACCATACCTGACCACTGTGAATAGAAGCGCTTATTTGTGCATTCAAAAAAGGCCTAATTGTGTTCCTTGCACGTGTATACAACTCATGAGACACAAGCTTCAGCATATTCTCCTCGATGACTCAAATAACCTTTTTCATGAGTGATGGGACAAGAGAGTCTGAACTAAAAACGAACATATGAGAGAAAAGATAATCATTTAGCTAATCATACGCCTTCATACACAGCAACAACGCAGCCTTGATCCCAACAATCATACGAAGTATATGATATTAAATTTAGTTTTGTGTATATCATAATCAATTATTGGCAAATGAAACCACAAAGAACGTCACTAGAAGTACAACAAGTTTCTGTAATTCATTATTTTTACAGCATGGATTAATTACACGTGTTTGTTCTTACAAAAAAGTAAGGAAATAATGCAGTTTTTGCAAAGAAACTTCTGATGTAAATAGTACATACTTTGCAAGTAAACTGCAGAAACATTCCAGATAAAAAATTCTGAAACACATAGAAACTAAGTTTTTTACATTTTTGAAGTCTGAACAACACCTAAAAAGATTTAGCACTAGCTAGGGTTCCCAATGCCGACAAGCAAATAGAGTTCCATAAAAGAGACTGATTAAAGGCCTTAACATGCAAGACAGAAAGGAAGAATGATAGAGACCTGGACTTTTGGGCTTAATATTTTAATAAAATGTAATAGTGGGCTGGGCCTAGTAATTAGATAGATTGAGGGAAGCCTCGTTTGGAAAAGAATAAATAGAGGGAATAGAAGAGGGAGAGGGTAGGCAGAAGCTAGTTTGGGTCTTGGGAGTGTTGGAGACCACTCGAAGTGTCTCCATTGTATCATTCTATTTTCAGTTCATCACTTTCATCTTAATTCTACTTCAATTTACCGTCAAATTTCTGTGTACCTATCATTGGTATCAGAGCACTCACTTCCTGGAGGCAAAGGATCTGAATCGATCGAGAATATTAACTACCTGGAGCGATGGAAGAATTTTGTACACCAGAAATGGAGAAGGGAATGGATTCGCTGGAGAGGGAGCAGACATCGATGATGAAGAAATTAACAGATATGAGAAAGATGGAGGAAAAGATGACCAGACAGCTAGATGCGATGAACGAATTCAGGCGAGAAGGCGTTCGCATTCGTCAACAATGTCCTTCAGTTCGCAGATGCGAATTAATTTTCCCAGGGTATCGCTAAGTGCGCAGACTGTGTCACGCGAAGAAGCTCCCAGATCGCACCAATCTTCATCGCAAGAGGCTTCTAACAGTTCGCAGACTCGAACTTCCTCTCACAGTTTGAAATCGCGAACGTCATCATCATCCAGGTGATCCAGCAGTTCACGACCAAGTCCGACGCGATCCAGAGGAGAAGCTTCCCGTCCGCAGATGTCATCACTAACGGCTTCACCTTCGTCTCGAACAGTAGCTTTCAGTTCTCAGGTGTCGTCTCCATCACGTACAGGTTCTCATAGGTCGCAGACTTCGAAGCTAACAAATCATTCCAGTTCACAGGGGCTTCTGCGAGCAACTTCTCACAACTTCTCACAATCATTCGAAGCTAAGAAAATTTCTTCTAAACTGGAAATAGTTCCAATATCAAGAGCTGCAATTAAACTGCAATTAACTAGTTTCTAAAACAAATAATAAAATCACACACAAGGCTGGCAGAAGCCGCAGAACTGAAATTAAGCTCCAGAATCGGCAGGAAGGGCAAGATGATTAGAAGAAAGAACCAATGAGTAATAGGCTAATAGCAGACTAAGAGAAATACCTCAGTCCTCAGCAGCTGGAAGAACCGAAGAAGAAAGGAGAATAACTCAGTCTTCAGCGGCTCAGCAGATTGGCGTCGTTCCTGGTTGTCGCGGCTCTGAAGAAGAATACCTGGAGTCTTCGAACAAATGGAATCGAGCTTCGAAGGAATGGAAACTATCCTAATTCGTAACCCTAAGTAAACTAAAACTAAAAAAAAAAAAAACTTACCTGCTCAGCTTTGACCTACCCGTCGCTTTTTGTGAGAGGCGATTAAAAGCGCTCGCTTTTTGCGCAGCGACGCCTCAAGGAAAGGCGGAAAAAAACGACGCTTTCTCACAGGGGTGCGCTTCTGTAAAGCTTAGCGATAGGCCATCGCTAGCCTACGCTTCACGCTTTTTGTCGCTTTATTTCGCTTTTAATGAGGTGTCCATTTGGGAATTGTGAGAAGTCGCTTACTCATGAATGTTTGGAGAGGTTGGTTCCAAATGAAGATCTTCAAGCCAAAATTGTTAATGAGGTGTCCATTTGGGAATTAGGACGAGGACTATTTAGCAGTTCATTTGCGAAGAAGTAACGAGGCGTTAAACCCCAGGTTAATATCTATTCATTAATTAATATTATTTTAAAAAAATGTATTACATATTAGAGTGACTTTAACATTTTTAATTCATTTTATAGTTGATTGGTGGACATCTTTCCGTGCCAATGCTCCCCATTTAAAGGAATTTGCAATTAAGCTTCTTAGCTTAACAACAAGTGCATCGGGATGTGAGAGGAACTGGAGTGTATTTGAGCATGTAAGAATAGTTATTGTAATGCAAGAGTCAAGAATTTCAATTTTTCTATTCATTTGACTAACTGAAAAATTTAAATTACTTAACAGTTGCATTCGAAGAGGAGAAGTCGTCTAGAATACAACCGCCTCAATGATTTGGTATTCGTTAAGTACAATAGGGCTTTGAAGCGTCGCTGGGAAATGCGTGACTCTATAAATCCTATTTGCTTGGATTACATAGACATGGCAAATGAATGGTTGACCGGTGAAGTTGACGATGCAAATGAAGAGTTGGTCTTTGCTGATGGAGATGATTTGACTTGGGGAGATGTTGCGAAGTTTTCTGGTGTACATGATACCCCGTATTCTCTTAGACGCAATTCTAAAGGGAAAGATAAAGCAGAAAGTTCCAAGTCTAAGGGAAAAGAGAAAGCATCCACCCGTAGACTCGTTGATGAAGATGAGGACGAAGATGAAGAGGATGCGGGAGTCTATGATGATGACAGTGAGGACTTTGATACCTTACTTATGGACGAAGAAGAACAAGACCAGTTTGACGACGAGGATGATGAGTTGATGGAATGAGGAAGATTCTAAGAACCGTTTTTAATGAAACTATGAAATTGTGTGATGAATTTTTTTTTTCTTTATGCCACACTAGTATTTCCTTTATGACTTTTATGATTAATTATGTGTTTTTGTGTGATTTTGTGATGAATGTTTTGAAACTTTATGCTGAACTAGTATTATTTTGATTGACGTTTATGACTACTTATGCATTTATGACATAAGTATACATTATATATTATATTTTCTTTAATTTTTTTAATCATCGCTTTTTGTGAGAAAGCTTCGCTTCGCTTAACGCTTTCGCTTTGAAACAAAGCTCGGGGTCATCGCTTTTGAACGCTTTTCGCTTTAAAAAAGTTTGCCTCATGGTACAACAATCAGTGAGGTATTGGGAAATAAGGGGCACGAGGATGAAGCTGGATGGCAGGCTGCTCCTACTCCCCACCTTGAGGACAAGGTGGTTGTCAAAGGGGGGGAGTGATGATAGAGGCCTGGACTTTTGGGATTAATATTTTAATAAAATGTAATAGTGGGTTGGGCCTAGTAATTAGATAGATTGAGGGAAGCCTCATTTGGAAAAGAATATATAGAGGGAATAGAAGAGGGAGAGTGTAGGCAGAAACTAGTTTGAGACTTGGTCTTGGGAGTGTTGGAGACCACTCGAAGTGTCTCCATTGTATCGTTCTCTTTTCAGTTCATCACTTTCATCTTAATTCTACTTCAATTTACCGTCAAATTTCTGTGTACCTATCAAAGAAATACCTGGCTCCTTTTTTCCATTTCACCACTAACAACAAAAGAACATAGATAACTGTTGAACAATGTTAACATTCCTTTTACTTGAGAAAGATCCAGTCTCAATACTTGGAACTCGGAAGCAATCATCAAAATGAAAAGAAAGAGATATAAAAGGACTCCATGCTCATGGGTTACAACCTCATGTCTGTATACTGCCCGCCTGCCCAGAATAATGAAAAGATGTTCCATGACTTTGGAGGTGCCTGAACGCTTCGAATGGTGTGACCAAACTCACACCGAGTATTGTGCATGGCAAATTGGGGAAGAGTATCATGTATGTAATACATGTACACATAAGCTTGCGCAGCAAAGAAACAAGGTGATTGGTGATGATTTATTATTTTGAGTGGAGTACTGAGTTCTCCCCTCAGAGAAAAACTAGAGATGTTTGTATGGACCGAGAATGAGTGGACATCCATACAGAGGAGTCTTGTGATAGGTAGGAAGAACGCGCTGAGGAAGTAATTTTTTTTTGTATGTGAGGAAGTAAACTTGTTAATACAATCTTAACTGCCTAACAAGTAACAAAAGGGATGCAAGTAAAAAGTGATTCAAAAAGAGGTTTAATAATCTTACTTCCTGTACTAACATTACTATTACAAGGATAGTAAAAAAAAGGATCTAGCATCTGCATAGATGATCTAAAGCCTGTGGGGAAAATCATATCAGAAACATGACTTAGAAAATTATAATAATATTATAGATATATTTGCACACATAGACTTACAGATCCGGAAATTAACTCATATTGATAGCTACGTCGTTATGGTGTTTTGTCGTGGATCGTTCAACAAATGTTGACGAAATGGAATTTCCAATTCAGAAGGAAGTAGCAGGGCCAGTCGTGAGTGTTTCAGGGCCTAGGGGCGGGTACTCTGTAATGTGCCTAATCTTATACTACCTCCGTCCCATTTATATTGAGACGGAAGAGGGTGGCACGGTTATTAAGAAAAGTGGATTTGTGTGCTTGATATTAATTGATAAAGTAAGAATTAAGTAAGAACGATTTAGAGCCACACAAACTTTGCCAAATATGGTATGAGACAATTTAAGTGGGACTTCCCGAAAAGATAAAACGGGACAATATAAATGGGACGGAGGGAGTAAAAATTAGAAAAAACTTTTTTATCTAAACTAAGATATAAATTAATAATATTTCAAATGAATTATAATAAAGAAATGACTTTTGTAATTCGTTGAATTAAATAAAGTAGAATCATAGTTACAAAAAAATAAAGGAAAAATCAAATTTCAATACTTCACAGTTCAAAAAAATTCTAATAAAAATTTAAAATACATACGTAGTAATAATTACATAATTGACAAACCTATAAACTAGGAGTGGGACTTTGGAATGAAGAACCAGTAAATTGAACTGCTATGACCCGGTTCGGTTCCAAAATTTAAGTAGTTATTCATTACCAGTTCAGTTCCTAATTTCTAATAATGGTTCGGATGTTGGTTCCTAAAAATTATGTATGCAGAACCGCTAAGGAGCCATTATATAACAATTAAGTTTTGAGCTATTACTTATTAGTATATACCATTGTGAAGCGCAAGCTTTAGAATAAAGGGTCAAATAGGTACCTGAACTAACTTAAAGTATTCAATTAGCCCCTTATATAGGAGGTTCAGCCCGGACATTGCCAATTGGGGAGGTTCCCGGTTGAATTTTTTGATGAAATATTTTGAGAATCTTTTTCATTAAGTCTAGTTTACCCATACCAAATTGCAGCTAAAAATTCAACTAGGAAGGTAGTCAAATGATTCTCCAAAATGTATTGCGCTGTTTAACTGCGCAGTTATCTTAAAAAAATCATTTGACTGCCTTCCCGATTGAATTTTTAGCTGAAATTTGGTATGGGTAAACTAGACTTAATGAAGAAGATGCTCAAAATATTTCATCAAAAAATTCCACCGGGAACCACCCCAATTGGCGAAGGCCGGACAGAACCTCCTATATAAAGGGCTAATTGAACACTTTAAGTTAATTAACACATGATCATTATATATGATGGATTAGTCTGCTACCTTAAAAGTTAAAACTATGTCGTCACATAACCCTCTCATAGTCTCATCACACTATAGTAGATTTGTAGGGGGCCATCGTTATATTTTTTGCGCCAATCATTTCTTTCTTTGATCCTAAGAGAAATCATTTATTTCCCTTTTTGTGAAGCGCAAGCTTTAGAATGAACGAACACCGACTAACTCTAGCAAGCCATTTAATTACTCAATATAGAAGAAAGAGGCAGACAACCACCAGTATGAACTACGAAAGCTAGCAAGAGTGATACAGGTCAAATGGTCAATTCATCATTCGTTATACAATTTCACTCTATGAATGCCTTTCAATTTCTCTCAATTATTATTAATTGTGGCTTTCCTAGATCATTTCTTGAAAATTTGATTTTCGGAGCTCCAATGTGATCCACGGAGAACAAGAGTGTGTGAAAAGGTAATTCCTCATTCAATTTCACATCTTTCTTTCTGTTTCTTTCGATCTGATTACTCTTATTACATGTATGGTGTATTCCTCCAATTTTTTTACATTTTACTTGACAATATGCCTATTTGCACTTAGTTTGAGCCTGCCAACAAAAACGCGATTTAATAGAGTACAAGTTTACTCCATTGGAGCATATAAGAACTTTTTTCTGAAAACAAAACTTATTTACTCTAAATAAATTAAGTGGTGTATCGTTTCATATTAGCCAACCTCAATATCTTTTGGGACTAAGACTTGGATGTTGTTGTTGTAGTATTTGATTACATCTTAATGTGTTCGATTTACTCTATTGTTACCTTAATAACAATATGCCTATTTACATTTTACCTAACAATATGCCCCCTGTTTTAGCACCTATTACCCATTGTTTTTAATTTTTTTAATCTGTTTTAGCATCTATTAGTTATTTTCCCCCTTTTCGTTTGGTGTTTGTATCCCAGAACAAAGGCATGTGCTTTAATGTATTAGATCAGATGTGATGTTTGATAAAATGTTTTCATCATTTTTCTTTGGCAGTTCTGCCTAGATGTTGTTTTATGGAGCTAAACCTATATTCAGTAGTAGGTACTCTCTAATTCTGCTTATGTGATGTTTAATAAAATGTTTAGGTCATTTTTCTGTGAATTAGCATTAAAGAAAATAAACAATTTTGACTTCTTTTCCCACCGTGTTATTGTTCCTAGATTTTTTTTAAAAAAAAAAAAAGAGAGAAACTAAAGATTGAGATAATCTCTTCATCTGCCTCCTACAACATTGATTTTCCTTTTCCCTTCAACTCTCAAGTTAAACAGACATTTGTTATGAAGTTATATATGAAATGGTGTCTTGATTATGACTTTTGTTTTATCCATTTTAAAAACTACTCCGTGTATTTGAATGCAAACAATTTTAATGATTTACAGGTCAAGTAAGGGCATGTTTGGCACAATTAGTTGAAAAGATACTTTTGTGAGCTTTTTAATAGCTGTTAGCTTTTAGTGACTGAAAAGATCTTAAAAATAAAAGGTGGTAGCTGTTTGATGAAAAACTGACTGTTTGATTTAGTTCGGTTTGGTATACAAGCTGTTAAGATTAATTAATACTAAAAGTCACTAGCTTTTCTTAGATGCTACTCCCGGTAGCATCTCAAAAAAGATCTTTTAATTTTTGAAAAGCTCTTAAATATTGTCATGCCAAACACACAACTAGAAGCTTTTAGGAACTTTTTGAACAGTACAAAAGCTAGAAGTCAGGGACTTATGCCCGCCAAACATAGCCTAAATCTCTCATTTATTAACTAATACTTCTTTCCTATTCATGTGTGCTTCAGCTGGTATAATCAGATAAACATCAACATAAATATCTACTTTTACTTATAAATATTTTCGACGCGATTTTCACTATGGGTCATTTGAAAACAGTCTCTCCCTGCTTTAGTACAGGGGTGAGACTGCGTACATCCGACCCCCCTTACCCCACCGTAGGCCTGCTCCTGCTGCACGTGTAAATAATGAAGCTGCTCTTTTTCTTGAAGGCTAGCATTGAGCCCAACAGCAGCCAAAAATAAGAACGTAGAGGGAGCGTGAATTATATATATTCAGGCGTTAAAAGAGGTTAGTAGCTCTTTTTCATATGATTATAATTCTTTCAAGCAATAAGTTAAATCACATATTAAATTTAGAATTCATCTAAACTTATTTTCACATTAGAAATCAGAAATGACAAACTCTTCAGCCTCTCATAAGTTTACTTAAGAAACTGTCTCTCAAAACTTACAAAAAATGCAGCTCTTTCTTGAGACCATGAACGTGACAGTAAAGGGAAAGGTGAGATGAGAATTCATCACTCCTGCTGCCCAGATTTATTGGCAGCCACACGGGAAGAAGATGAGTGAGTTGAAGTCAAAGAAC